TTTGCTCCTGATCAGGTGGATGAAAGCAGGAGGTTCCGAACGAGTGAGGCGGCAAGCAAGATGACCTACAATCTTGTGGTCCTGGACGGAAGGAGGGAAAAAATTATCTTGCCGATAGGCGGGAAATCAATCCAGATCTAAGGGGTACTGGGGTTATCCCTGATGAGGCCGCTACATGCCAGATTGTGATTCCCTCGAAGACAAGGTTGGGCGAGTACGTCCCGAACTACGAGGAAACCGCGGGCACCGTTGCAGGGCGGGAGGCGGCTAAGGAGTTGATGAGACTGCTCTCGTGCGACTTTGAAGGTCTGGTCATCAACTCGAAGAAAGTCTCGGAGTTATTCGAGGAACGTGAGGAAACTGGACGTGAGGCTGGAAACTGGGTGAATAGTGACCAGGCCATCTGGTTCCTGAGAGAGATCGCGGGCATGGAGAACGCCGAGATGTCGTGGAAGTTCTTCATTCCGACGATCAAAGCTTTCCCGATAGGACAAGTTGAGGCGATGCTCATGGTCATGTACGATGGGAATGGTGTCCTCCTCAAGGAGAGCACTAGGTTAGTGGCCGTTAGGTACACGCGGATCGGACGTGACATGAGCTACAGTGCCGTTAGGCAAAGGTACACCCAAGAAGATGCACCTGGCGGATCTCTGATGTACGAGATGCACTGGAATGAGCTCCCTATGGTGGGGTATGTCATCATGAAGTTCTCAGACTTTAGGAAGGCAGTTCAGCTCCAGAAGGTGAGGCGAAACGGAAAGGCCATGATCGAGATATTGATCACGAGGCCCGATGTGTACGAGACCATTGGGGATGGAAGGCAGGATGAAGGCCTGATCCCACTTGTGGAAACCGTGGCGCCAAATGGTACGTCAGGGACAGGCTGCGGAACTACTCGGGAAGATACGTAGTGGTAATCGTGGACCTTCGGGCGCACTGGTCGTTGGTCGGACCCGTGTTTCTGACGAGGAGAAAGACCCTTGCCGTTCGGAACGAGATCCACATGGGCGCTTGGAAGGCAGCATACATGTACGATGATTACACGATAGTGTATCATCGGGCATGGGACTATGGTGACCTTACCCCCGTTAGGGGAGAGCACAGGCGATCGCGTGAAGAGGTCAGGTTGAATGTGACCGCCACGTTCTGTTTGAGGTGCGCGGAGATGACGCCAAATGGGATGCATTTGTGCCCTGGGTGTGCGCTCCCGGTCTTCTACCCGAACTTCATCCCCAACGCGGACGAAAGTGACTTCGAGAGGTGCCGCATCGGCCCGGAGTGGGTGAGGAGCATGGGACAGTTCAAGCCCAAGAGGATCCCATCCGAAGTGGTCGGAGTCATCAAGAGGAACTTGATTTCCTATTCGATGGCGTCTGACCTGAGGATGACGGTGCAGAGCGGCATCAGACTGCCCCCTTATCTTGGTGAGGACAAGGGAGGAGTCGATACGGCGTGGGATGGCGAAGGTGCTCTTCCAATTCTCCTATGTGTCGGGGATTTCGGCCTTGGATGCGTTCATGGAGAAGTGGGTGGCGAAGCACCTGATTAAGACCAACCAAGTCGATAGATTTGATTCGGTCACTGAGTACTTCCGAGCTAACCCGAGGCATGCTGCTCAGTGGGGTAGGCGTATGACGACTTCCGCTAGGAAGTTCGCTCGCCATGACACGTACTTGTCCTTCTATATCCCGATGGCGTACGTGATTGGCTCCGCGGCGGGGCATCTGACTCCATTGTATCCGACCCATCGGAAGGACGTGGACATCCTGGCCAGTCATGCGTTGATATCGGAACTCAGGAAGTACATGGTGTCGGAGACAGGGTACGATGAGAAGAAGAGATTGAAGGAGGCGATAGCCAAGGTGCAGAAGGCAATCAGTGCCGGGCAGTCGGAGCCTCCCGCCCCCTTCCGCGACCCATTCGTCTACGTTAGTGACGAAAGGGTGAGGACGGTTCTTGATGGTCGTCAGCCGGAGCCATTGGACGTGAACATCGAAGGGCTTCAATGGGTGCATCATGCTGCGCCGGGTCCTGGTCCCAAACAGGAGCCGATCATCAAGGGCGGAAAAGGAAAAGGGAAGAAGGGAGAAAAGGGCGGTAAGGGCGGTAGTCCTTCCGGCCCACCACCGAAGTCAGGTGAAGTGCCAGGTAAAGGGTCTGGTAAGGGCGATAGCCCATCTGTCCCACAGGCAAAAGCAAAGCGTGATGCTGGGCCGGCTCCGATGGAGGTTGATGCAGCTGCGGCTCAGCCGAAGAAGACTTGGGTCGCGATAGCGGTTGAAGGAGCCCGGCCGAGTGCGAAGGCTAAAATGACTCCGGTTCCAAAGGCCGAGCCAAAGGGAAAGGCAGCTTCTGTTTCAGAGGCGAAGAGTGCTCCGGCTCCAAAGGAGACGAAGCAGGCCGAACCGAAGGTTGAGGTCAAGAAGGAGAAGGTAGGCGGAGACGGCGCTCCTGGCGGTAGTCGGGGGTCGGCCGAAGGGCAGAAGAGAGAAAGGAAGTCCCGTTGGGATCCTGATGAGACCGTGAAGGAGTCAACGAAGCGGGAGGCGTCGACGAGGCCTGATGACGTTGACAGCAGACCGGGCGCGGCAGCGAGAGAGGCTAGTGGGGATGATCTCCGCTCTGCGCTTGGTAGGTCTTCGGCAAAGGACGCGGTGGCGCCTCTGACGGCCTCCAAGGCAACGGCGAAGAAACCTGAAGGGGTGAGATCAGGTTGCAGCCGGCTGAGCGAGCTGCGGCGAGCCCGGTGGAGGGTCACTTCCTGGTGCTGCCTGAGAGTTCGGTGATGGACGCCCTCTTGTCGGTTTCCACCAATAGGGTGCTGAACAAGCAGGTCAGGGATTTCATCAGAAATGGTGAAGAAGCTGCAGCACTGGAGACTCTCAATCAGATCGTCACGAACTCTCGTTCTGACGTTTCCCGCACTCCGTCTCGGAGGTCCGTTAGGACTGTGGACACCGGGGATTCCAGAGAGTCGAGAAGACGCAGATACCGTCCGCGGCGCGAGGATGATCGTGACCGGAGGAGGGACGATGCTCGAGATCGTCGTGATGATGAATCACACGATCGGGAGCGGGATCGAAGGCGAGATGATCGCAGGAGATCCGAGAGAGATCGTGATAGGGATCGTGCGCGGGGCGGACGTGACCGGAGGAGACGTGACGATAGCCGGTAGGCTGAGTCACGAGGATTGCGGCCGATAGGCTTGCGTCCATTCTCCGATGGTTGGCGCGGTGGGGAGGTGATGATGTTCCTCCCGAACCGCTGAGGCGCGGAGATCATGCCTCTCCCGTACCGCTGCTTGGCTGCTGGTCGTGCTCACCGTGAAGTTGTGCGAGTGAGAGAGGAAGCAAACTGATGGGGGGATACTCCCGGGTTTGCGAAATTCAAGTATTTTTCAGGTGCGCATGGTCAGGGGTACCTCTTGCCGATAGGCAAGGGTACTGATGAACATACGTTATCCTTTGTTTCATGGCTTCTGATAAGAATTGAACTACCTGCATTGTTGATTCAAACAGTTGTGGCCTAATGCCGTCATGTGGACTTCTCCACGAGGTATGTTGGACAGCGTTACCCCGATTAATTCGGGGTGGTGGCGGGATTTTAATGCCCGGGACGTCGCGCAACTGCCTTTGCGGGTTTGCTCCACCGCTGACGGCGGTAGTGTCCAGCTGTTTGCGGATACATGCGAGCAGTTAAATCCTATCAGTAAATGGCACGCTCCACCCGTCATATGACGGGCTCCTCGTGAGGGGGGTGTGATTAGCCATGTCTTAAACCATCACCAGGGATGTCGCGATAGTGACTGACCGGTGGTGTTTGGCTCAAGTTTGCGGGTCCGTCGCGCCTCGGATGAGCGTCACCGGGTCCCCGCGTGGATCACCTTCGTGTCGGTGGAGAAAGAGACATCGGCCCGGGGCAGATTGGTGGGGTCCGCCCGTGCGGTTCATCGTCGATCAAGGTTGCGGGTACTTGTTTACTTGTTTTGGTATTTCCCTTTTGGTTGTTGTTCTCTGGTGTGTGGGAAACCCTGATCTTTGGGACCGGGGATTGGTTTGCTTTTGGGGAACGTTTCTTTTGTGGCTTGTTTACCCCAACTTACCCATTGCCTGGGCACAGGCTCGTGCCCGAATCACAAATTTAGATATAATTTCCAGTAGGATTCGGAGCACGTCTTTCCTTATGGAGCCCCTTTACATCCTATTGAAGTTCTATTTTTTTTTGCAGCCGTTGGTGGAGATGTGTGTTGAGTGGGATGAACGCCACACAATACTTTTTTATCGGTAAAAAACACGTTTTTGAGACCCCTGAATTCTTTCCTTATGAGCTCTACTTAGTACCTTTATCAACATCTACTCAATTCCTACCTGAAATTAATTGGAATGTATCAAGGACAGAACCAAGTTCTAAGTGGTTTTCCCAAATTAGAGTTTGAATAATCTTTATTCCATTTCAAACTAACGTTGACACAGGATTTCCTTTCCAAGATAATTCTCTTTACACTTCAAATTGGTCAACATGCAATACTGTACCAAGGCCTAGATGTGAACTACACAAGCGCCCTTGATCACAGAAGCTCTCGCACAAATGCCTGAAACGGACAACATGCAAAGCAAGCTCGAGAAGACCACAACCCAAAAACACAGACCCAATCTCCCAGATCGTGGAGCCCTCCCCTCTGGGTCTGTTTGTTTGTTTGTTTGTTTGTTTGGTTTTCTGCGGGTTTTGTTTTGCATGTTATGAAAAAACATGTTCGAGATAAACCAATGGCTCTTATCTCTTTTTAAACCTTGGTTTCTCAAGTCTTTGTTGCATTTTTCCCAACCACAAGTCCCAGATGCAGATGCACAGGCAGATGCACAATTCTTGCATGTTTAGCTCCCAGATGCTTATTTGCATGAAACAAACACACTCAAGGAAGTGCGGGGAGGGGGGGGGGGTCAGTTTTCTTTTTTGAGGGCGGTCCAACTGTCCGTTTCTCACCGATTCGGCTCTCACAGGCGAGGTGCGCATGGGCTTGTGGCCCATGCTGCGCATGGTCACCCCGCGACTCCTGTCCTCCACGCTGGCTGCGGCCTGAGACACCTCCAGCCCTCTGGCCATCGGTCATCTCAAAAGACCCTTCATGGTCAACCTCTTAGGGGTAGACAACCAATGTATCGGTTCGGATTTAGGAACCACGACATGACGAATCTCTACCATGGCATTCGTGAAGGGATGAGATGGGCTGGTTAAAGCGCATGTCAACTTCGGGTTGGCGAGAGATCTTCATTGCCCGAAGTTTCCCCTGTCAAATCCGAGTGCATAATTGCTGCAGGAGCACGGGCAGTACAAATCCCACTCTTTTGCGCTTCAATTTCCCACTGCCAACTTTCCGGTCAAGCATGTTTAGTACTTACCTTGCCAGCTGGCCCACCATATTTCTTGATATAAGGCTAAAGTTGATTCATGGGCTGGTTCTGTTTCGGGGGAACCCTCAAAGCTCATAATCGATGTTTCTGCTTTTGTTCTTTTCTAGAGGGGCCGTTAAAATCACAAGGGTTCTGTTTGGAGAAACCCTCGAACCTTATAATTATTGTCCCTGTCTTTGAAGGAGGGACCTTGACAACGCAAGTTTTTGGCAGGGACCCTCACGCCGAATTAGTGGTTGTTGTTTTTGTTCTTTTTGGGGGAGGGACCTTCACAACACCATTCTGTTGCAGGGGAACCCTCAAACCTGATAGTCGTTGTTTCTGTCGTTGTTTTGGTGAGGGGGGCTGAAAACTAAGGGCTTGTTTGGGCGGGGGGGGGGCTCAAAATTGCCTTTTGATTTGGTTTGGCCGGCCTGAACACTTACGAGGCAAGTTTAAACACCTGTAAATTCACGTGTGTTTTATATTTCCCCCCCCCCCCATGTTGACTATCGAGCGGGGTGTCAAGCCAACAACTGAAGTGAGTCAGGTTGGCACTGGAAGTCATCACTCGGAATTTGCAAGCAAATTTACTGCAGCTGCATGGCTGCGGGGCCTGCCACTTTGTTCAAGCGATTTGTCAATCAAACCTGGATCAGAGTCGGTGTGCTCCAGTAATTGGCCAATGCCATCGATCAGGGGACTTGACAAGATGGTTATATCGGAGGGGCATGGTGTCCCCCAGGCTCCGAAGAAGGAATCAACCCAATGCCAGAAGTCCCATAGAGAACGAGCCTAGGTACAGCTTCCGCATTTGTTTCGGCTGCTCCCAGCGCACCGACACGCCGGGGAGCCAAAGCTGCGCTATTTGGGGTTCCGCCTCATGGGTGGTTGGGGTTCCACCTGGTTGCATGGAAGGGGTAGGGACTTTACGAGTCTTACCACTGTGGTAGAAGCACACATCGGCCTATGTTAAGGTTTGGAAAACAGGAGGAGTGGGTCTAGGTGGCATCCGTCGGATTCGAGAACGGTTGACAATATTCATGTCCGTTTTGAATTGGGGAGGACGAAAGTGGGCGATCCCCAATTCTCCCATATTCTATTTGGGAAACACGCCATTTGTGTTGCTCATATTCATATACTTCAGTGTCCATGGTGAAGGGCATCACATGACACTCACCGAAAAAGGTGCGTGGGAAACACGCTTTGTTTACCAAATCCGTCGTCACGTTTTTCTTGGGCCATGGCGACGGGAAGGAGCCTTGAGACACACCTGGTGCCGTGGCGTTTGCGACGGAATGCCGGTGAGCTCAGGACCATGAGCCTTTAGAGGCGGCCCCCAGCTATCGCAGCCTCGAGGCCCGCGATATCGTTTGGACCAGCGTAGTTGGCTCCTTTCGCCACAAACCCTCAGACGGCTGGCCCGAAAGCAGTATGTGGGTTGTCAAGGAAGCTGCTTCGCGCGCTTGTTCGAATTCTTGAGATGACACAGGGCAGTCTCATCTTAGTTTCCAGTGTGGAAACTCTGGATTTAGCATTTTGTTGTCGGGACTTGTGCAAGTCCCTGTGAGGCCTGGTCCGCACACCCACGGCGGCTGCCCGGCAGGGCTGTGGAAGATGCCAATTTGTTGCAGGCGGTTCTGGACCAGAATGGGACTCTTTGGCATCACTCATTTCCCAAATTGGGGCTCTCACTTGACGGCTCACATGGCTATCCAAACTGGCGCCCTCAAAATGCTCAGCCCATTTTTTCAGAGCAAGTGGTGCTATGCCAGGGAGCGACTGATTTAATTTGAAAAAGGGGGGGTGAACCAACATGGGGCCCATGATCAGCGCTCCTTTTGAAATGGTTTTCTTTTTTTCTGGGCCAACTATCCTTAGCCAGTGAATACGTGCCTCTGGGCCAGAGTACCTTCAGTGGAAGTACTTAACTACCCGTTTAAGCGGTACTTTGGACCCTTTGGGGTAAATTGAGCAGATAGATGACAGGATGTTGAGTCTGATTATGTACCTGTACTTGGATACTGGCATGTGTTCACGTATTGATATATGGTATGTCCCTTTTGGCAGGAAGGATCCCTCTGATTTTGAGACACATGTGCGGGTCATTACCTTGAGATGCTAATGGTCGTGGACTCCTTTGCGTTCCTGTGACCGGAGTTTGGTGGAAGTGGAATTCTCAAAAAAGGCTTCCCTGAGCCGGCAAGTCTTTCAAAAGGTCCCATTCAGATTTTCTTGGAGCACACCTGCCCAGCTTCCTGGCGACTCACTTCCGCCAGCGCTTGCGCGGCCCTGCGCGCCTCGGCTATGAATTCGAATCGCCTCCAAATGGCCCGCTGTTTCCTTGGTGACGGTCGATACTTGATTGACAAGACACTGGTTGGGCATTGTGAATGTGTGCTTGCGTTTTTTGCTTGAGCTGGTAGCTAAACATGTGGACAAGTGAAAAGGGCCAAACAGATGCTCCTGGATTAGCCATGTGACAGCGGTTCTTGCCGTGTGAAGGTTTCGCCAGTCGTGCCAGTCCAAGGATTGCTTTTTTGTCCATGACGCTTGGCTGCGCTTGGCTGCGCTTGGCTGCGCTTGGCCGCGCTCTTGCTTTTTCATCCTTCTGCGAGCGCAGTGTAGCTGACCGTCCGGCTCTGGCTCCCGCAGGATAGCACCTTCATTCCGGCGGTTTGCGTGCCCTTTGCTGGGGAGATGCAGCGTGGCCGCCTCAAGAATTGGGTCCCGCGGGAGTCTGTGCGAAGTTCCTTCCCCAGCCCGGTCTCACAGGCGCAATCGAAGCCTGGTCGGTAGCAAAGAGCAGACCGCAATTGGTGCGGATGTCAACAAACGTTGGTCCCTTCGATTCTTTCCCATATCTGGGCCATTGAAAAACCCACCAGGACCTGGCAGAAAGTGGCCGGGCTGTCTCGTCAGAGGTTGGAATGCGCCGTTGGAGCGGCATCCAGAGCTGGTCGCCAAGATCAATGAGCAGGTGGGTCCAGTTCAAAGCCTCGTTCAGAGCCGTCTCTGGGTTCGGTTTGTCTCTCTTTGGGGGGGGAGAGGTTGAAGGGGAACACAGTTCCACAGTTCTTTTTCGGGGCGGGTTCAGATGTGGGAACAACTTGCAACCAGTGCGTGCACTCTCGGAAGTGGTTTGTGGATGATCGCATCATGTTCGGCAGACCTTGGTGCCTGACTAATGGAGCAGATTCTTGTGTTTAATGGAGCTGGCTAGCTGGCTTGCTGCCTCCCTCCCTCCCTCCCTCCCTCCCCTCCCTCCCCTCCCTCCCTCCCTCTCTCTCTCTGTCCACTGTGATACTCCGCTAAAGTCCACGGCCGAGTGGGACCCCCCCCAAGAAAGAAAAGCCTGGGCCTTCTGGTGGATAGTGTTAGTCTATTAGTGTCAAATGCACACGTTTTGCTTTTAAAATAGCATCAACAATTCTTCCATGCAAGACTCCGCGCTCAGACGGACCTGCGCGTGGCTGTGGGCGCTGGTCCCTTTAACAAGCACTGCCGCATTTACGCGCCCCGCTACCGACAGGCGGGTTCCAGGCTGTTCGGGAAACTCCCTGGGCTTCTTTTCTGCCCCTCAGGAAACCCATAGTTGGTGGTTTGGATTGGTGGGCCCCTTGAAGAAGCCGACCTCCCCTCCAAACCACCAAGCCAAGCCACGAATCAGAGGGAAGCCTGGAATACATTTCATTTGGGTAGGGATTTAAGTGGGGACCCTCTGGTGGACATAATTTAGGTGGGAATTCATGTTCACCAACCACTTGGGAAGGCATTCCTTTGTAAAAGTCAGAATCATTCATGTTGGTGACACCCATCTGTCAGATGCGTGCCTTCAGGTGAACGTTCTGGCCATCGCCGCCTTAGCGCTGCCGCCCGGCATCAAGTCCCAGTGGCGGCAACTGCGCCAGGCCGGACCAAAGGCGGTCATTGTGACTCTGGGGGGGTGGGGGTGGGGGTGGGGAAGAGCACAGAGGCTCCGTTTGGGGACTCAAAGGGAGGGAAAAGGAAACCACCTGGGAAGCTGGGCGAGAAGTTTTCTTTTGACCTTTGGCTGTCTTGTTTTTTGGGTAGCCACGTGCTTGGGTAGGCGCTGGACTTGGCCTACGACGACATCAGAAGAGCCTTCCTGGAGTTCGTGGAGTCGACGGATACCAAGGGCCGGCCATTCATCGTGGTGGGTCACAGCCAAGGCGGGGGGAGCGGGGGGCTTGTCGTGGAAAATCCCCGTCGCCATGATAGAATGAATGGGCAATTGTTGGGCTTGTTTTTCGCCAAGATTTCATGTTTCATTCTTTGTTGAAGCTCGTTTTTTGGTGTTTGGCTTTGATAGCTTTTGCGGCAGGCTAACGCTCCAAGCAACCGCCCCAAGTCCAAACTTAACCCAAGCCTCAACCCACCCCGAAGCTACAACTGTCAACCTCCTCATGTCAGCCCAAGCGGGCCCCACCCTGCGTTCCCAACCGAAATGCTGCATACAGTACAGCATTGTTACTCTCCGGAACACAATCAAGCAAAGTCAAAAGGACAACACAAAGCTTTAATACTGACTCTTTTAGTAACGTTCAGTTTTGCTTTTAGAAGCTTTGGGGATTGCTCGGGCGAGACGCGTTCTTGGACCGGGCTCCCTCCAAGAAAGAGAGTCGCCCAAACTGACAGGGGGATGTGTTGAGCGAAGCCGTGAAATATCTTAATCTACACAAATCTTGAGCCCATTCCTAGACAGCCGTGGAGCAACAACTGGCCCAACACTACCAAACACCCAAGTAAATTTCGACCAATGGGAAGGATCCCTATTTGTGACACACATCGCCATCTATTTGGTCACGTTTTTCACACCCGTATCTCGCCCTTGCAGTGGTTTGCCTTTGCAGCACAACCGACGCGAGCTGTTCACACGTTCGAAAGCAGGAATCTTCTGGTAACTGCGATGCGTGAACTTTGGCCTTGCCAGTCGCTGATTTGTCTGTTTGAAGACCATGAATATTGTTTTTGATGGCTGTGTGGGCACTGTTGGAAAGTTGTGCGTCTCGTCTGATTTCGACTTGAACGTGAGCTGGGGACCGATTTTGCCGGTGTAGCGTTGCAGCGTCATTGGGACTCAAGGTGTGCGCTTGGATCGGTTTCTCCCGGTCTGGCCGTTAGTGTCGGTCCATTAGTTCTTTCAAAACACACCTGCTCGGGACGTGCTTGTTATGCGCGTTCTCAATCAAACATAATTATTTTGTGTGCCCTTGCCACTTAAAGATGGGTCAGCCTGCATCCCTTGGGTGATTCTCAAACCGTCTGTGTCTCTATGCGTTTGTGTCCTTGCGTCTGTGCCTGTGGCGCTGTCTGTGTGCGTGTGCGTGTGCGTATGCGTGTGCGTGTGCGCGCGCGCGCGCGCCGCCCGCCCGCCTGGCGCGCGGCGCGTGCGGGCGGGCGGGCGGGAGTGGGCGGGCGGGCGGGCGGGCGGGGGCGGGCGGGCGGGCGGGCGGGCGGGCGCGCGCGGCGGGCGGTGGCGGGCGGGCGGGCGGGCGGCGGCGGCGGGGGCGGGCGGGCGGGCGGGCGGGCGGGCGGGCGGGCGGGCGGGCGGGGCGGGGCGGGCGGCGGCGGGCGGGCGGGCGGGCGGGCGGGCGGGCGGGCGGGGCGGGCGGGCGGGCGGGCGGGCGGGCGGGCGGGCGGGCGGCGGGCGGGCGGGCGGGCGGGCGGGCGGGCGGGCGGGCGGGCGGGCGGGCGGGCGGGCGGGCGGGCGGCGCGGGGGCGGGCGGGGCGGGCGGGCGGGCGGGGCGGGCGCGGGCGGGCGGGCGGGCGGGCGGGCGGGCGCGGCCGGGCGGGCGGGCGGGCGGGCGGGCGGGCGGGCGGGCGGCGGGCGGGCGGGCGGGCGGACGGGCGGGCGGGCGGGCGGCGGGGGGTGGGTGGGTGGGTGCGTGCGTGTGCGTGCGGTGCGTGGGTGGGTGGGTGGGTGGGTGGGTGGGTGGTGGGTGGGTGGGTGGGTGGTGGTGGTGGGTGGGTGGGTGGGTGGGTGGGTGGGTGGGTGGTGGTGGTGTGTGTGTGTGTGTGGTGTGTGTGTGTGTGTGTGTGTGTGTGTGTGTGTGTGTGTGTGTGTGTGTGTGTGTGTGTGTGTGTGTGTGTGTGTGTGTGTGTGTGTGTGTGTGTGTGTGTGTGTGTGTGTGTGTGTGTGTGTGCGCGTTTGTTTGTTTGTTTGTTTGTTTGTTTGTTTGTTTGTTTGTTTGTTTGTTTGTTTGTTTGTGTGTGTGTGTCTCTGAGAGTGTTTTTTTGGTTTTTTGTTTTTCCCCAACAGCTGAAAGCTTCGTCGGGCCCCGATCGGGCCCCGATTGCGCCGTCGGGCCCCGATCAGGGCGAGATTGCGCTGTCACTCGTAGCTTTGCTTTACAAGGCGGCATCCTCAGCAACACCGGCGGTAAGGATGGTCCCGGGGCGTTCCGCGAGGATTCTGGGAGGGTGTGGTGCTGTTGGGGATATCGCCCGAGCTTATGGTTTATTTGTTTGTTTCTGTGTGTTTATTTGTGTGTTTATTTGTGTTATGCGTTTGTCCGTCCGTCCGTCCGTCTGTCCGTTTGTCTATCCGTGCGTCCGTCCGTGTTTCCGTTTGTTTGTCTGCTTGTGCACGCGAGCTCACACTCATGGGCAGGCACCATCCACCTGACACGCCTATTGCCAGCGGCCCAGACTGTTGCATCGCAAGGGAACTTTCCGGGCAGCGGCTGTTAGTCGAGGCAGGAGGAGGTGGACCCCTACCCAGAGCGGCACCAGCGCTTTGTGCACGGATACCTGACGGGAATGACTGCGCCCATCTCAGCTTAACAAAGAAACCGGTTGTTTCCTAACAAGTTTCCTCCCTGGATAGGCAACAAATCAACAAAACAGAGGAGAACACTTCTTGTGGAGCAAGAACGCAGTGGACCTGTCCCCAGGTGCCTCTGAGCATTTTCCGGCCGCTGAAGCAAGTGCGGCCCAGTGATCACGCCACAGACATTTGCACGGTGTCCAGCTGGAGGCTGGGGAGAGGGCTGCGAAGTGGTATGCTGCCGCATAGCCCGAGCCACGGGACAACCCAACGAGAAGCGGACGCACTCTTTCCAATAATCATGGAAGCTGACACCAGGGTTGACAACAGTTCTCTTGAAATGGCCTCAGCACTTCCATGCTTGTTGGAAAAAGCGAGCTTATTCTCCTCATTTTCCAGGCATTCTATTTAGACCCTTGGACGACTAGGGTTTGATTGCTACTCCTTGTGCAGCGAGCAGTTTGCAGGACCGCGCCGCCGGGCATTCTGGCCTTGCCCTTGGGAACCTGCATTCGGGCTTGCGTTTTTCCTGGCTTCTTGTGTCACTCGGGCCTTGGCAACTCAGGTTGCCGTCCACTGCGCCATGGTCTTCCACGCCGAAAGTGGCTCGGTTGCCCTTTGTGACCTTTATCCACTCGACTTCTTGGAGCAAATGTATGTTTTTGCACCACACAACGTTTGGCTGTCGTTTTTGAGGTCTACTCCCCTTCAGGGTTTGTTTTTTCGGGACAAAGAACAACCCATTGCAGTTCTCCTATTTTGGCACCGGTACCCCTAGACTGGTGGTTTTGATTGGTGGCGTGGGAATTTGAGCCCCAGCCTTTAAAACCATCCAAACCACCAAACTAAATCACGAATCGGAGGGGACCCTTTTGGAAGTGACGAACATCCAGGTGGCTGGAAGAGGTTCGGCGGCGAGATCCTGGCCACGAATCCCATCACCTGGCACCGGGGTCCAACGCTCCCATCCAAGGCGCACGGGAAGTTGTCCGAGCTGTTTATGTGCTTGCCGGTTTATACATAAAAGCTATTGGCATTTGCGCGAGGTTTGCATTTTGCATTTTGAATTGAAAAGCCCGAAATCAAGTCTGCAAGACTGGCCCTAAGCATTTGCGGTAGACGCCTTTTCCAGTTCTCTGAGTCAGGCTTAGTTTCTTGCGGTGAAAGGGATGCTCAAAGGACCCTGAGGAGACGAGTTCGGGAAAGAGCCTCCGCTTAGGCGTCCGAGTACCTGGGCTCCGCCTATCCGCTTCCCTCCAACCTGGAGCTCGGTGATGGTGTCGCGGCGAGTTGGCTTCGACCCATCCACTCCAAAGATGGACACCCAATTTGGTGTTGCCAAGCGCCAAATGGCCATGGGGCACAACCTATGGCTCCATTCTTGGGTGGATGAACATCCATTTGCCACCTATTTTGATGTTTACCAGTACATAATTTTGACCCACAGCCAAAAAGATTACGAAGCGCCTGGTCGACCAGTAGGGGGCTGTCCTCCGATCCAATTCGCACGGCACTATCCGTAACACGCAAATCTGAACGTTGCGAGTCTCGGCCACCGCCGGCTTTAGATTGGAGTCGGGTCTCGTTAAGTTGCCATATATGTCAATCCTCAAATGTTGCTTGTAGGAAAGAACACGAGTGTACTTCAGGCCCATTAGTAAAGGAATCTCCTTTGGCGAACGCGGAGCTTTCCTGTATAGAACCTGACTGAAGGTCCCTCCGGGTACTGGATTTATGCGGTAGCTTGATGCTTTCGTCCGTCTCCCTAGCAACAACATGCCCCCACAAGTGAATAAACAATCTTCGGCTTGGAAGAATCCTATTATGAGGAGGGTATGAGGGAAGGGAACAGTTCTCCCGAAAAAAGCCCAACATCGAGGAACGGTGGCCTGAAAAAGGGGGAAGCGCCCTTGATCACTGGCCAGCGAACCCAGTGGACTGCCCACGCGCAGCGCGTCGCGTGAGGCTGGCTCACCTCCGGGGTGAGCCTCCGCTTTGGAGCCGCGTGCATGGCCTCCCGTGCGGTGCTGGGGGCGCGAGTGGCCGCCTTGAGCGCTTCGGATGTTGAGCGGCTGGGTTTGGGGCACCTGAGAAGAAGTTCTCCTTCAAACCCAAATGGCCATGAGTCAAAATCCCGTAACTCCAGTGAACATCACAATCCCCAATAAAATAGACTAAGATGGGTGGTGCACCTACCCCAAAATGGTACCATTGGTTTTGACCCACAGCCAAATTTATTGAAGCTCGATGGGGTGCGTTTCTTGTCCATATGGTGCCCGGTGCCCCTATGAAGGCTACCCCTGGAAATCTTCATGTGCAAGCAGAGGCTACGAAAGAAAGGGAAGGAGGAAGGGCCGACTATAGACAGCCCGCTTAAGTCGCGTGCTCCTTTCCTTAGGTCCCTGCTGAAATCAAAAGTCTTCATAGTGGCTGCGCCTCCGTTTCTTTCCTTCGGGTTTGGTGAAGACTCTGGGTACGGAGGAACCAACCCAATGCTTGACAAACATCTGCCATTTTGGTTTAGCGGTTTTGACGCTGTGGCTACAAGTCAGGCCCTTTGCAGTGGTGGCCCCAAGTAAGACTTCCCCTTCCGTACGTGGTTCCCGTGCAGAAACCTATCAGGTGGTTCATGGATTCCAGCCGAGGACACGTGCACTGTGGCGAAGTCACCGCGCAGGTGGATACAGGTGGTGTGCCATGGCTGCATGAGACTTGCGGCTGACAGGGGTGCCGCCATTTGATTGTTCAAGATAAGAGGCCCCCAAAAAAGCAAGAAACAAATGTGGTTCTCCAAGCCAAGCCCAAAAAGGGTGCTCTCAACAACACACTCATGTCGGAATGGCAGCTTGCCCGGCCAAGGCCACGAGAGTGCCAAAGCTGCCCTCGTCCTGTTTGTTTAGCCACATCGAAGATGACTTCTTGCGCTACCATGACGTTGACATCGTGCCTCAGCTGAGAGTTGATTGGACACTTTGGCGAAGCCATACATAGCCATATAGCCATATAGCCATATAGCCATTGGCTTATTTGATGTCTGGCATGCGCTCGCGCTTTCCCGGCCCCGAGCCCCGAGCCCCCCGAGCCCCCCGAGCCCCCCGAGCCCCCCGAGCCCCGAGCTCCGAGGCGCTCTTCTTCGGGAACCTGCGGGCCAACGTGGCTCAGCGCTGCAACATGTGGATGCACCAGCAGCGAGAGCTTGCGCTGCTGGACGGCACGGCGGTGCACTCTCTGCCTGTACATATGGCCCGCCTTTGACTCGGGAGGAGTCTGACGGAAAAACCGAAGGCTTTGGTTCCAAGCAGATGTGTGTGAAGCTGCAGCCTTCCGCAGCCTTCAGCCTTGCGGAGCCGCTGTGCATAACACGCGGTCAGCTTTGTTTCAGTGGTTGGCGAGAGGTGACGTGCTCGCAGAGACAAATGCAGCCAGAGCTTCGCTGGAGACATTGGAGTCGCCTAGCATATGGTCAGCCAAGCGCACTGCGCTCAACTTCCAGGTTGAACTTTTCAAATAATAAGTCCTTGGAGTGGACGTACCGCTTCGCCCGGGGGAGGGCTTAACAATATTTTTTTCAGAGCTTGCCGAGGCAGTCGGAAGTTGGGTGCGTGCGGCAGCCCGGCGTGGAGTGTCTTTTTACAGGTGCTTGTGTTCTCGTTGGAAAGTCAGGTAACCCTCCAGCGACTACCCCTTGACCTCCACTCCAAACCACTGAGGGGTAAGGTGAAAAACTGAAAAGTTGAGCCGGCTGGGAAGGGGGCACTGAAGTGCGCCTGATTCCGTCAGGTTGGCCCTGCGCCGGTAGAGCCGTCCAAGGTGCTGGGGACTTAGGCGGCTCCACGCACCCAAACTCCGTGTTTCCCACAGCTGAAAGGGGTAGAGCAGACATGTCCCACAAAAGCATTTCACCCCAGTCGGGCCAGGTTTCGAAGTTGTTAACATAGATGATCTCAGAACAGTTCCCAACCCTAAACTTCAAGGCTCAAAAAGCGAGAAATCCATATCTCAGAGGGACCCGACTGATGTTCGACGAAAGGCACAGCCGCGGGCTGGTGGAACCCTCGCGGCGCGTTGGGCCGGTGGGCCCTGCACCCCGGCCGTCGATGGGCGCGATGGCCGGGCCCCCAGGATGCCAGGCCCGCAGGTCCCAGTGGGTGGCTCGGGACTATCCCAACATATCCCAACCTTTTGGATCTTTTTGGTTGGTTTTGGGGATCTTTTTGGTTTTGAGGGGATTTCACCAGGAAGTCAACCAATTTGGGGATCCCCGAGCTTTGAAACACCAGGTGCCCTCTGCAAGGGTTTTTTGGGGAGTTCCGGCGGAATCAGGCGGCGCAAGCTTCTGGAGTATCCTTGTGCCTACTTGGATGACACTGAACATTGTAACAAAGAAGGATGGCCCGTACTGTATGATCGAGGTTTACAGCCCCTGAAAAGCCGCTGGATTGATAAATCCGTCGGATTGGTCTGGGGGGGTTTCCTCCAAAAGTGAAGGGCCCTCTCCAGACCCAAAGTAGCGCCAGGCTAGCGGTGGGCTCCGGACCCTGAAAAATTGTGTTTGACCGTGCCAGCGCCATGTGCGGCAACAAAACCCCTTTTCTTGATTGGATGGTCAACCCCTTGGTAGGGGATTTTGGATTGCGATTGCAAGGGTGCCTTCTGGAGAAACCATAGTCACCACGGCCATGAGTTTTGATGGCACGCGGTGTGTCTGTGAGGACCCCTGGACCGGTGCTACGGTTGCTTTTGTGTCTCCAGTTAATCATTGGACACATCCGTTCAGCCGTCGCGGCTGCTCCTTAGACCTAGCTGAGCCACATGCAAACGATGCATCTATAGACTCTTCGGCGAAGGCAGACGTTTCGGTTGCTAAGCGACATTCAACTCTTCTCTTGTGGGGCGAATTACCGCCACGAGAGGTTGCCACACTCAAGTCCCCATGATAGCTGAACAGCTTAGCCGCCTAACCGCTCAAAGGACTTTGAGACTAGCCCTTGGATATGAGCTATGAGGTGTAGACCAAATCTCCGTGTAGGAGTCAATGTCAAACTGCTGCCCTCAATCCAAAAGGAGCCACTTTGAAGGATCAGTCTTTCGCATTCGACCGGCTTGGAGAACTGTCACACGGCACACACAGCCGAGGCGTTCACGGAGGTCGCGCGCTCAATTTTCTGGGCGAGATTGTTTAGGGCCATTCGAGGAAGCCCGAAGGATCTGAAAAAGGTTTTCGTTGCTGGAAAGCTGGGCGGTTTTCCTTGTGGGTGTGTCCTTTTTGGAGGAACCCCCACATTGGTGGTTTTCCTGTTGGCTTTCCTTTAAAACCACAACAGGGGCTCAAGAAAGCACACCTTCTGGTTTTCATGCAGCGACAGCCCCGAGGTGCACGAGCCCAGCCGACCCCGTCCAGGATGGGGAGCGAGAAAGAGAGCTTCGATTGGATTGACCGCTTAAGGCATGCGTAACACGAATCAATGAGAACTTCCTCTTAGGCTCGCTTTTGGCGGTCCAGGCTTGATTTTGAAAGAATCCCCAGCTTACTGCGGGTTTGTTCGGTGAAATTGCTTAGGATCAAAGCTTCAATGCTCAGCCCTCTTCTTTCTATCCGTTCATGATAGGCTTGGGCAACAGAACTTTGGTCGAACAGTGCAGGGCGATCCATTCCGTGGTTTTCGAACCAGATCCAAAGAGTTAGCACATATCATTCATCTTGGATGTTTACTCTTCGTCAACTGCACGCAGGTTACTAGAAACTTCAAAAAGCGATGAGCTGAGTTTGCTTGGCTCGGGCCACCTTCAGCCACCAGACACTTGCGGAGAAAAACCTCGGGATCTTGACACATCATATTTTTGAACCCACTTCGACAGGGAGACTTGACCACCAAAAAATATTGACACAACGTGACACAACACCACGGCTTGACACAAATCGCCACATGGACTTTGCGTCAAGTCAGACTTCGCGTCCCGCTTCGACACCTCGGGGTCCGGCCAGGGCCCGCGATTCCTGATCCCAAGGAGCTGCACTGGAGTGGTGGGCATGGACCATTTTTGTTTCAAAAGGAAACCAAGCAAAACCAATTGGGAATGTGTCGAAGTGGGACCCCCCAACAAACCCTCCCCCCCAAAAAATAAGGTGGGTTTCTGCTGGTTTGACTTCCAAGGCGAACAGTGTACCCACACGAAGCATCCAACCGAAGGTCCAAGCTCTCAAATCGAGGCATTGGACTCAGGTTGCATTCAGTGTTTCCGAACGGGCACATTTCTTCGCCTTGTAAGCTAAAAAGACCCGTTGAGCGAACCTAATTGAGCGAACTCTTGTAGCCTACAGTCGGCTGTTGAGCAAACCTGTGTGAGACGTTGAGAAAGATGGCAAAATGCCCTTTGCTCGTGGATACGGAAGGCGCCTGATGCAGTGGCGATCTCTGGGTGCCGGCGTGGCGAGTGCGGCGCCTGGGGGTCGGTTGTCGTAAATATTTCAGTATTTTGTTTCGCGCAGATGTCTTTGTGACTTTCCAACGCAACCCCAAAAAGAGTACCTGCTGAAAGGACAAGGTCAAATACCAAAGACCAGTCACAAGGCCGAAGCCATGTGTCTCACCACTTTTTTTTTTGCGCAGCCCTGAGGTTGTGGTTTTACGAGTTTGCGTTAAACACCGCCAAAAAGGGGGTACTCCAAAAAACAGCCAGCCCCAAGCAGGCCACAAAAAGTGGCAGGGTTTATGTTGTGGTTTCCTCAATACCATTTGCAGTTGCAGGCTGCCACCTTCGGGCTGGAGCAGCAAGTGGTCCTTCGCATGGTGCCCGGAAAGGCGGAAAGGCGGAAAGGCGGAAAGGCGGAAAGGCGGAAAGGCGGAAAGGCGGAAAGGCGGAAAGGCGGAAAGGCGGAAAGGCGGAAAGGCGGAAAGGCGGAAAGGAGGATGGGGCAGCGGTCCTGGGTCCCCATGTTTCCCGTGCCATGAGTTTCTGTCGATGTGGCAAGGGGAAGTTTATGGGAAGCCCCTTAAGGGTTCGGCTGGAATGGAGCCCAATGGGGGCCAAGGGCGTTTTTTTCAGGTTGGATAGGAAAGGGATGGCTTCAAAGGAATCCCCGCATATTTTCATGTCAATGTCAATCCCCCCCACCATCTTTTTGGGGGGCAGCTTTATTTTCCGCGCGGATTGAATCTCCGGAAACCTGGGAATCAACATGTGGGACTTCCAATCCGGGTGGCCAAAGTCGGCACTTGATGTTTGTGTGATGGCAAGTCAAAGGGACGGCAACCCGCCCAAGGCCACGAAGCGCGCGGCACTGCTGGCAGCCTTGGAGGACCTTTGCGGCAGAAGCTTGCCTTGTATCTCATCAGGTGCAACAATATCTTCCAATCTTCTTTGGTGCTTTTTGTTTCGTGTGTTTTTCCCTTGGTGCAATCTTTGAAAAATCAGATTGGCTGCGTGCAGGAGTCCCAGATGCACGTGGTCTACGCTCTGAGGCAATGGTTTCGCCCTTCGTCTCTGCTTCAGCTTGTTGGGCTGCCTGAGGCCTCACTCCAACGTGTGGCAGGAGTCAATGCAGTCGGCGGACCTTGAGCAGGCTCAGACCATGTTGACCCCTGGTTCATGCTCTGAAGGAAATCCATTTGCAAGGCGATTTATCAGTCAGGAGGGTTCCAAGGGGCAGATTTCCCCAATGCCCAAACTTGCGCCCAACAAATTGGTCGACCCTTCCACGCAAGGCCGAGCTAGACCGGCTGCTGCGCGAGAAAGTGCTGACCAAGCCCCGCCCAACGCAGAAGCAGAGGCAGGCTCGGGTGTCGGTTTTTCTTTGCTTCTCTTTGGAAAGACCTTCCAGAATGTATTTGTTGTGTCCATTAGCAATTCTGAGAACCCCGGAGGGACCCAGATTTAGAAATGGGGAACTGCGGGCCTTATTTTGGTAAGCACAGTGGCAAGCCCCTGGTTGGTTTTGAACGGGTGGATCCCTTCACCTCGGGAAGCATGCCTGTTTGCCCGCGAACATTGCCGACACAGAGCTTTACAGGGCGAGAAGTGACTGCACATATCATTGGCACAGTGCTTTTTATTCTGCAGATTTGTGCTTGCTCAAGGCTTCAGGAAGCCAAGCAGTGGCTGCTTGAGGCCGGTGCAAGCTTGGAGGCAGGCTCAGCTGCGAAACTTGCGTGCCTGCAATGCGGGTGGTGCAGGCGCTTTGCTCGGACAAAGACTTCGAGGTGCGCAAGGCCGCAGCAGCGCTCTTGGCCGAGGGCGAGGCGCGAAGTGGGTTTTTAGAGGGGGTCTCTTTTGCTGTACCTCAGATGGGATTTCGCACCGAAAAGCCATTCCGGGGGTGTCTGTTTTGAGGCTACCCCCCGTTGTGGTTAGGGAAGCAAATGGACAACCAGAGGAGAGGGATAGCCAATTTGGGGCTCCTTAAGAACTTTGGGGTGTCGGACTGTCGGCTGGCCGGAAGCTCGGTCAGGGGGCTGCTGCTCGTGCCGCCAAGCTGCTGGGCAGCGAGGACGCCAACGCGCGGAGCACCGCTGCCGAGGCGCTGGGCAGGCGGGCAGATTCGTTCGTTTGGCGTAAGCGGCGCGGATATCGTGAGCCAACAAACCCGGAGACTGTAGTTTCCAGGCACGCACATAGTCCCCAGGCGTCTTTGATTCACAAGCCAAGCCGTTTGGCGCTTGCAGGATGGGCAAAGATGCTACACCGCACGGTGCTGCGCTGGCTGCGCTGCTGGGAGATGCAGACACCACAGCCCGGGCCGCAGACGCAGACGCAATGGCAAGGAAGAAACGCAAGGCAGTGCGCACGTTTGCGCCTTACCGCAGTCCCAGCAAACACCTTGTGCCAATACCTTGCCCAAAAAGAGTGTCGACAAACAGAGCGGCTTTCAAAGTCGACCCTCAATGGTCCAAGGTCCGGATGGCTGCAACAGCGGCACTGGGCAGACTAGGCCGGACGGCCACAGTCGGTGGACACAGTTAGAACCTATCAAATGATGATTGCGCTTTGTTTTCCGGGGCGTTGTTGCGGTTTGACGACATTTGAACCGAGTCTTCCGCTGACTCTTCAACCGCTAATGGGGCCTCCGCGGTTGGTGTGAAATATCTGGTTCTTCTTTTGGCTTTCAGCTTCTCTCCCCCAAACTTCTCAAAACGGGATTCGGACCTCTCCTGGTGGGTTGTTTAAGGAAGGCGACCAGTAAGCCACCGGGAAACCAAGCCACCAGGAAGCCACGAAGAGGCCACAAGCAAACTAGAAGGAAACCGCCAAACCCACGCCACCGTTGCTTTTTTTGTTGGGAAGCCGTCGAAATCTTCGCCGCGCCGGCAGGGGGGGCGTTGGCCAAGCACTGCGCGGAAGCCTTGGGCTCCGAGAAGCCCCGGGAGCGCGAGGCCGCCTGCGAGGCGCTGGGCCTCATGGGCGCCTCCGTGTGGCCTCCCAGCTTGGGGACCGCGCGGAAGGCGAAGGGGAAAAGCCGGAAGTGGGCGTGTCTCGTTTTTTGAGCATACCCGTTTCGGGGTTGGTTTGAAGGAAAACCAAGAAACGTCCCCTGAAGAAAGACAGACCCAAGTGAGTGGTCCCGTGTCTACCCTGTGTGCGGAGTGGCAAGGTTCAGTCCACTCAGTTGTCCCTGAAGCACAAGCATTTGCCTCTTGCAGCAAGTGAGTGGTTGAACAGGAACACTTGAAAAGGACCAATTGGCCAATTGGCCTAGCTCAATTTGCACAGGGAATTTAGCCGGCGTTCACAGCAACATGTGGACATTTCTGGATTGTCGAACCGGAAGTTGAGGGTGCACTGCAGTGCGGAGGTGGCAGTTCACGCCCATGAGAACCGCGAGCGCTGAAAGACTTGCGAGGGCAGTCCTTGCCATCAACTTTTTCTGGACTGAAGTTTTACCATCAAATCCAAAATGATCAACGGTCGTAAAAAAAAATGGCAGACATCCATGCGGGTCGCCTTCCACTTTTGCTGCCGAGGCTGCAGAGCATGGGGCAGCCATTGCGGAGTTGCTGCAGGACAGCGACTGGCAGGCGAGCGGCAATAAATATTTGAGTCACAATCAACACCCAGCAAAGTGAAGTTAAGGGATAGTCCCAGCCATGCATCGGTGCGTATATCTGCCCTCTCGATTACATCGTGCGTTTGGGTAGACCCCTTTCGCACCAGGGTTCTTTCAAAGGCTAAAAAGGCGCCATTGGGGGGGTTCACTTTGAGACCCTGTCCCTTGGGTAAATGGTTTGGATAACCCTCCCAGTCCGGGGATCGGTTGCTGTGTGAGGGAAGGAGTTTGGAACCGGGTTGGTGTCTTGGGTTGGTGGGTTGGTTTGGTGGTTGGGTTGCCAGGGAAGCGGATAGAATGAATCTAACCACAATCAATGGGAGATATCAAAAAGATGTTCCACAAGGAGGTTCTTCTACACTGAATATGTCTCTTGTTTTCGTTATCTGCAGAAGGCAAGGGGCAATGTGAGTCTTGCCGCCTTGCCATGACTACATGGGGCAAGCTTGGTACCTGAAGGGCAGGGGACTTTGTAGACACAAGCAGTGGATGGGCATAATCCTACGCAAGTCGAATGAGGCCTCAATGTGCGAAGCATATTTTTCCCATCGACTGTATCTTTCTAAGCCGCTTTACATGTTTCAAGGTTACATTTTTCTAGATTGGTTTGGCAAGTTCTTTTTTTTTTGAGTTTTGGGGTGATCCAGGTCTCCCTTAGTTGGTGTTTTGGATTGGTGATTTGGATGTGGATTTGAACCGATTCCTGGCTCTTGTTGGGATACATGGGAAGCTGGGTAGACGGGTAGACCGCCACTGCGGTCCGACTTAGGAACCTTTGAGGGAAGCTGAGCGACGGCAAGGCCCCAACCGGGTCTCAGCCGCTCGTCCGAGAGGTGCCCACAGCCGCGGGCAGCGCGCTGAAGCGCCTGGGGTCCTCCCAAGTGAAGCATTGCGCGGGGCCAAAGCCGCTTTGGCCGCGTCCAGGTGTGCGACCCCAAGGGGCACCGGTTTGGTCCAACTCGCTGAGAAATCTGCGTGCATTTTGGTGGATTCACGTGCTCGGTTTCTGACGTGCTGGGTCCGCAGAAACAGAGACAGGGGTTTGGCTTGCAGAGACGTGCGGGACCCATGTCCTGAGGTGCCGAAGTGCTCGGGCGCTGCCGAACCACAGCCAGGCCGGACTGGGACCTGAAATGAGCGAGCGGCAGATAGCACACGTTCTCAAAATGCATAGGGTGGTGGGTGGTTTCGCGTTGAACCTGCAGAATCTTGCGGATGTCACTTGTAGGCGCAATGGACCCAGCACGGGTTGCCCGCAGAGTAATGTCCCCTGTGTCTGCAAGGCCTGCGGTGGCAGAGGCCATCGTTCGCATCGGCGGTGCGGATGCCGCAGAGAGCCCTGGCCTCAATGGTTGCGATTGTCTCAAACTCAAGTCCCCCGAGACTGGTCACGCCGAAAAGGGTGCCGCGCCTCAAACCACACGCGCTTTTGGTGAAAGGCGGGCAGCTCACTTTGAGAAGCTTCGCCCGGATTCGCCTCCGAGGCCTGGTGCCGCTCCTTCGAAGCTGTGACCTCAGTCGCGAGTGACGGACATGGGAAGGTGAATCCCAGGTTCGTAAGGACAGGTGAGGATTTTTTTATTATAGGGGTCCCCCTGTGTTGACACAAACCCGGTGGGTGTTTCTCAAAGGGTCTGAAACACCTGCCTTTTGGTGTTTCAGGATTCCACTTCGGACTTCAGGGGAACCGCCACCACCAGCTTTCTTGCTGGCCAACAAAAGCCGATTCCCATTGGCAATTTCAGGTCAAACCGGGTCTAATTCAATGATTACACCGCTGATGTACATGCATAATGTGTATATGTATAATGTGTATATATATATACACATACGTATCTTGATATTTCCCGCAAGGTCGAGATCAGGGTGTGCGGAAGTATGCCGCAGACTGCCTGGGCCAGCTCGGCGCGGAGGCATCCGAGGGCACATTCTGGCTTCTGAACTAGCTACAGTTTGGCTCCAGGTTCATTAAACGGTTCAATTCAAATTTGTCTCCAGGTTACCTCTTTCCAAGTATTTTCCCTTCTGGAATGGACCAAAACGGGTCCCTAGGTTTCATTGGTTCGGATCTTCTCTGGCACCCTGCGTGGCTCAGGCGCGACCCTTTGCCCAGTTCCTGGCTCCTTTGAAAGAGGTTCGGGGCTGAGGGCTGAAGATAGGGACGAAGCCGGTTCAACTGACGCAACAAATGCGATCGGGAGCGGAGAACAGTCTCCCGGCAGCCTCACTTGTTGACCATGGCGTCTTTCGAGAGAGAGATCTCCCCGCAGTAGCCAGGGAGGTTGAGGGGTTCCAAACAAAACTAGGAATCCCCACTAATAAATGGATGGCATTGAGATGAAACCAATTAACAGATAACAACACAAAGAATACGAGAGTCCCCCCCGATTTTGTGAAACCCAAGAATGCTGAATGGAGCCGAAGCCAAGGACAGCGACCGCGAAGTGAAGCGATCAGCGATGCAGGCCAAACTGCCACACTCGACTGGCATGAATGGACACCCACAAATTCGCCCATACGAGTTTGTCTCATGTAGCAACCCGTTTGTAGTTTCACGGGAAAAGAAAGACCCATGTCTTCCCTAGGAATGGAAATCTGTTTGCGCGGAGGCCTTGATCAAGCTGGGCCTGGGTCCGGCGCCGCGGACGGAGCGCGGCTGGCGAGTCTTGAACCTTCAGCAGTTTCTTTTTTGTTTGGTTGGACACCCCCGTGTTTTTGTTGGGTTTTCATTGCAGAACAATCCCCTGGCTTTGGGAAACTGACGCAAAGGTTTGAAGGAATTCTTGCGGGTCAACGAGTAACAACGAGTAACGCCGCGATGCGAAGAGCTGCCAGGTTGGGGAATGGTGATGAAATGCCACCTCCTCCCGACAAAGGCCTGCTTATCTGCTTGTGGAAGGACATGCTTGGTATTGTGAATTCAAGGGGTCCTCATGGATTGGGCAGAAACATCTCCAGGAGAGTTGTGTGATCACGCTGCAGGCTCGGGGAAAGGCAAGGATGGCAAGGATGGCAAGGGCAAAGGAAAGCGGAAAGATGGCGACCGAGAGGGAGGCGCAATGCGGCTATCTGCACCTTTGCCATCAGCGATAGCAACCCCGCTCTTAGGGAACAGGGGCGAGTTCTGACAAAGGAGCTTTGACAATCTCGCATGTGGCTTGCAAGGCTTGATGTGTTAGAGCCTTGCTTGGCTTGCTTTTGAGCCCACGGCAGGCGATTCCCAGGGACGCCGGCGCTAGAGCAGAAAAGGAGGGTGGTCTTTTGTTGCAGGGTGCATCGCGCATGGCCACGGCACTGCCGCTCCGAGTAGAGTAGTAGATTGGCCTGGCCCTGTGCTCTCAGGTTCTGGGGGTTTGCAGTTTTGCGTTCTTTGTTTCGCCTTCCCAATGACATGCGACGATGCCTGGGTTGTTTGGCCGCCTGGGCGTTGTTGCTGCCCTGGTGGTTGCTGCTTCAGAGCGGGGCAAAGGTCCCTCGTGATAGTGGATCGCTCTGCAACTTCAGCGCCTCTTTGCCGATCCTGAAGGCCATGGCTAAGGTTTCACTTGCAGCTCAGTTGCCGCTTGTGACAGTTACCAAAACGGAAAACAAAAGCCCAAAGCCATGAGAATCGGGCATCGAACAGGTGGAGCCGGAGAAGCCGCTGCAGCTCAAGGAGTATCGGGCCTCTCTGGTGCAGGCCCATCGCTTCGTGGCCATGGATGCTGAGACCGCTTTGGAAATACGCCACCTGCAACACGCGCGGATCATGTACCCCGTGGTCACTCACAAGCGCAACTTTCAGACCATCGTCAGCGCCGATTTGAACAGCTCTTGGTATCAGACTCCGAATCAATCCCAGTTGGCCCGGTGCGACTTTCAAGAGGACAATGCGACTCGCCTGTGAGTTCAGCCGTGCCCAGGTCAGCAGGTCTGCACATCACATCTGCAAGTGCCAGCTTGCCAAGGTTGCCGTCTTCCGGGGCAACTTTTTCCGCGTCTGGGAGTACGGCCACATTTTGCATGACCTTCTACCAGGGCTTGTGTGGCTTAGCGCGGCTCAACCCCATGCCAAGCTCATCATCGAACGGACAATCAAGCTGCCAGAGTTTCTTGAGTGGTTCGACAGCGAACTCTACGCCAGAGCTCTCTTCTTGCCCTCCAACCAGGCCCGCCCGCCAGTGCACTGGCACGCGGAGCTTGAGTCAAGCGGTGCAGTTTTATGAAACCATCTCGCGCTTGTGAGCATGACTCATGACTCTCAGGTGCTGTGCGCGCGGCAGATGTCCTTGCTGGTGCCGCGCTGGCGGATTCGCCACCCGGAGCAGCTGCGCAGCGCCGAGGTCTTCCTGCACTTCCGGCGCCACCTGCGCCCCGCGCCCACAGCCGCAGCTGCGGCGCAAGCGGCGCTGTACGTGGCGCGGACGCCTGACACGGCGAAGCACGGGCGGTGGCTTGTGCCGGAAGAGGAGGAGCAGCTGCTGCAAAGTGCCCGCAGGAGTTTGGAGAAGACGGGGAAGAGGTGGGTATGCCACGGTGTGCCCTTTTTTGTGGTTGGTTTCCAAAACCCGAAAAGGAGCACCGAAGCCACTTCGGGGGGTCCGAACAAGAGAAACGCAGGTTGTCCGTGTTCATTGGGACCTCCTGGATCGAGCAGTTCCAAGCCTTCAGCTCGGCATCTCTGGTCTTTGGGGCGCACGGCACGGCCATGGCCAACTTGCTGTGGATGCCCATCACCTGCCCCAAGGCCGCAGTCATCGAGTTCGTCTGCTCCAAGGAAGCCATGCATGTGGTCGGGTGCACCTTTGAGCGTCGAAACGGGCTGATCCGTTCGACCAGCTACTGGGGCATGGAAGGCGGACTCGTGTGGTTGAGATACTTTCATGTACTGGCCCCTGCCTCAGCTGGTTTCTCGGTTGCCTGGCGTGCTCGCAGTTTCCTTTTTGCGGACAATTGATGTGTCCTGGTTCGCTTGGCTTCATGTGTGAGGTTCTGGACAGCTCCAGCAACTTCAGCAAGTATATGCGCGTGGACTTGCATGGCTTTCAGCTGGCCCTGGATGAAGCCCTGCGTTGAGTCAGATGACGCGGATCGCGTAGCAGGTCGCAACACGCTCTTCCCCTTCCCCCGACATGGCCGTCGTCTGAGCGTGCGCGCTGCAACCTGAGCGTGAAGGCGACCGCCGTGGAGTTGGAGGACATCCTTGCCGTTGCGATGGCAAGGCTGCCGGTCTGCATCCAGACGTGTCTGGGAAAAGGACTGTGACCTTATAGCTTTAGGTGCTTAGGCAGCGTGATTGGCGAGCTGCGTGCCTTGCCAGCTGGACTGGTTCGAGCCCTATGTAATCCTTTGACACAGGGCAAAGGACTTGGGTTGCTTCAAGCCACAATCAAGTGCCGCACAGCATTCCAAGTCAATTCTTATTACAATAGTCTAAGTGTCAGCATGACACTCAGCCATGGCCGACATCACCATCGTGCCTGCGGCACCTTGACAGCATGGATGCTCTGGATTTCAGTTTCAGACTTGTTCTTCTTAAGCGTAATTTTCACGGTTCACCTTGGCATTTGGCCTGATTTGGGTTCAGGGGACAAATATGGCACACAGCTCATATGTTGGGAACTTGTTCCGCAATCCCATTGGTCCGCCTTTTTTTTGGGAAAGCGAAGCAAATCCAACTGGAACGTAGAACGAAGAACCGCACACGACACATCCCAAATCGAACGATGAGTTCAGGGCGCCCTATCCTTTGGCCCTAGCCGCATTCTGAACAAGAAGTTTGGTGCCATGCACCAAATCATGTGTTTGATCCATCCGGGCCTGCGCTTTTTGGAGGTGGACTGTTGTTTTTGCCTTTCCTATTATCGTAGTTAATGGGTCGCGAGTGCGCCCAAAACGCCTCGGTCGCTTCGGAGGAATGCTGGGCCTCGCTGACGGGGGACTTCCGTCGCCTGCTGCTGCGGGAGGCTCTGCAGCGGCGGCCCTCCCCCGCCGCGTCCTTCACAGAGGATCGCTTGGGGCTCGGAGTTGACCAGCCTCCACTTGAAATTTGAAACCTTCCTTGTGTTTTTGGTTTCTCTTGACTTCCTTTGATTTCTTTCAACCAGCAACCCCGCAAAAAGTGATTGGGGCGTGGTCTTGTTCTTTGGCTGGAGGTGTAAAAGGGATTCCAATTGTCCGCTTCCCAAGCTTGACGGTTGGCGGATACGTGGCAGAATAAATTGCCGCTGACCAGTTAACAAGTGTTGGGCAAAATCGGCAT